ATTGAGCCAGGACAGTTAAAGTGGTCTCATGCTGGATTATTTCTGGCACTCTGTTTAGGCCCATACTTTCTTGCCTCAGAGGAAAGTGAAAGGCAAAGCCTTTCTGAGAAAATTTGACAAGAAAACCCTGAATGATAGGTTTGCCTCAGGGTCACCATAAGTCCTCAATGACTTGAAGGCCCACAACAACAACAACAACAACCATTGTGTAATGCGAAAACACCCCTGAAATGGACAATTGACTAATTTTTCATTTTTTCTTTGGCAGTATGCGTGCCTCGGTCCCAGCACTAGAATACCAGTCTAAATTGTCCACATGCAAAATATGAAAAATACTAGATAAATGCTAAATGTATCAGAGCCAGGGTGGTCTAGTGATTTGAGCATTGGACTAGGAATCTGGAGACTAGGGTTCAAATCCCGGCTTGGCCAGGGAAACTCATTGGGTGACCTTGGGCAAGCCACACTCTCTCAGCCTCAGAGGATGGCAATGGTAGGGTCTCCATAAGTTCGAAACAACTTGAAGGCACGTGGCGACAGCAACAACAATGCTAATTATAGGTAAGCTGCCTTGCCCCAGTATTGAAATACACAGAACAACAACAACAAGCTTAAAACTAAAGAGATAACAATTAAAATTTACTGTTCTCAGTTGTCAAATGCTCTGCTGACATAAGCTAACATTTACATTTCTCAGGATTTCCTTAGGCAAGGAAGACTCAGAGGTGTTGTTGCCATTTCCTTCCTACTGCACCTATTTTTTGTTGGTGGTCTCCCATTCAGGTACCAACCAGGGCTGGCCCTGCTTAGTTTCCAAGACCATATGGAATCTAGTCCATTTAGAATATTTAGGTGTCTTCCTCGGCTACATACTCTTCAACATTTTACCAATGAAATCCTAAATACGGGTGGCCAAGCTGCGTTTGAGTAGAGCCGAGATGATAAAAGTTCTTAATAAGGAAGAACAGACAAGGAAGGAGCCAATGCAGCAGTTTGCTTTTCCCTGAAACTACTGGGAAGAGTAGATTTCCTCCTCCTTTCCTCTCTCCTCTGCTGAGTTGACCAGAAACTCCCTTGTCACTTTGAACTCCATTTGCAGGAATTGAAATAAACCAAGGACAAAGGGGGGAAATATGGGGTGGGGGGAGAAACTGGGACATGTCATTGTCTGCATCTGTATTGCAGAAATAATGCAATTTGACACCATTTGAATGGAACCATGCAATCCTGGGTTCTGTAGTTTATTGTGGCACTAGGGCTCTCTGAGGGAGAACATGAAACATTTCCCAAATATTTCACAAAACTACAAATCCCAGAATGTGATAGCATTGACCCACAGCAGTTAAAGCAGTATCAAACTGCATTATTTCTGCAGTGCGGACACAGCCATTCTTTAAATTTTTTTTTTTGAGAATTAATGCAACAATTTTCAATCTAAAAACTGAACTAATGCAAACTGACTGAAATACCATAGAGTGAAACTATGCTTTAAAATAAATTCCTGCCTTTTAAATTTATTTTAGGTAATCCCTATATATGTTGCAGTTTAGAAAAGACTTTTTCTCTATCGTTACTCTTCCAAAACCACACATAGGAAGAATAATCGACTTTTTTTTTTAAAGGTTGGAACTTGGAAGTAGCTAGAGAAAACAAGGAGTTACTTGTAAGTAATTCATTTTTGCAATAGGTAAGAGAACTAAATTATATTCTTACTGTGATATGAGGGACAACCACTACTTTTGCGGTGTAACTATTATCGTTACTGCTATAGTTGTAGGGAGCCAGCATGGTGTAGTGGTTTGAGCTTGAACTATGACTCTGGAGGCCAGGGCTTTAATCCCCTCTCAGCCATGGAAACCCACTGGTTAACCTTGGGCAAGTCACACTCTCTCAGCCTCAGAGGACAGCAATGGCAAACCCCTTCTGATGAAACTAGCCAAGAAAACCCCATGATAGAGTCACCTTAGGGTCACCATATGTCAGAAACAACTTGAAGACTATAGTGTGGCTTTGCTAGGTAGTGAAGCTATATACTACACAGGCTGGTGGCTTGAAGCATTCTGAAGGTTGCTGAGGTGGGTCTGCAAACCAATTATATGGCCCATGACCCTATGTGGGCTGTACAGTCTACCAAAAATGCCCCCTCACAAAAAAAACAAAAACAAAAACAAAAACCGAGAGGCAATGGTTAGAGTCCAGTCTTGGTTTTTAAAAAATGTTCAACAGTGCATGGGGACCTGCAACCTATGTCTGCTTTGTTGCCAGCTTGCTTAGTTGCAATGCTGACATCTGGACCAACAATGTATCATTATATCTATTGATGCCTTCAGTTCTGTTTCTTATTCCCTTCAGCTTCTTGCAAGACAGTCAGTGTAGGCCACATATAGTTTCATCTTCTAACAGAAGGGGATGGCTGCCATTGTTGCCCCCTCATCTGCCACCTGGGGCAGTTACTTTTACCTGGCTTACGATAGGACTCTCCTCACTCTTTCCTATCTAGCCCAGAGGATTTTCTTCTTTCTTTTCCTCCCTTGTCTGCTTTAAAGGAGCAAAATCTTCCTTGAACTCACCCAGTTCTCCCCCAGAAGCCAAGGCAGGGCTTCCAAATTCAATTAAAAACACATACCAAAGAACAGTCAATGAATGTAACTTACAAAGGTCATGGGAGGATAAAATATTCCAAATTGGTGCCCTCTTTTAGAAGCCAAGCATCTCATCTTCCTCGCTTTCCTTCAGGGTCCTGCTTCAGTTCTAAAAAGAAGTATTGACTTCCATTTTGCCTCCCAACCCTCACTCTCTTAGTTGTGTTTGCTCACCTTCAGAAAGTCCAGCTGTTGGCCATTTCTCTACAACTTGCAATGCTTGCTGGGAGATTTAGTACCACAAAGAAGACATCTTGAGGAGGGGAAAGGGGAATCTACATCAGCTGAGGACTTGATTTGCATTTAGTCTTCTTACTTTGAACCTCTGGGTGAGAATCATGGGTCCCTCCAGATGTTGTTGCAGTTTCACTGGAGGACTGGATGCTACCCAGTAACTCCCAGTAGCCCTAGCAGTACAGCCGATGCTGAGGAATGCTGCAAGCTGCAATTGCACAACATCTGGAGGGCTGGGTGATTCTCACATCTGCTCTAAAGAAATAACTTCAAGCAAGCAACATTGAGCTGGACAGCTTCTAGGTAATTTCTTATATGCTTTAGCTACCCTCTGCTGAGGTGGAATGGAGTTAGAAGATAGAATTACAGGAAGACTGAGGGACAGTGTGGTATAGTAATTAGAGCAAATGGTTAAAAACTGAAAGACTAAATATCATACCTCCACCAACCCATAACTTGCCACTTTTTCTAGGCTTAAGTTGCTTTATAGCAATAGTTCCCAAACTTTGCTATTCCAGATGTTCAGGACTTCAGCTCCCGGCATTCCTGACTGCTGGCCAAGAAGGCTAGGGCCTCTAGGAGTTAAAGCCCAAAACACCTGCTGTGTTGGCGAACCTATGGCACGCGTGCCAGAAATGGCACGCGAAGCCATTTTCCCTGGCACGCAGAGCAGGGAAGAGGAGGAAAAGGCACACACCTGTTCCTCCTCCTCCTGGGCCTTCAGCTGCCTCTGAAGAGAAATCCCAGCCCCATAGAGCGGAAGTCCCACCCTGGAAGTCCCCCCCCCCAAAAAAAATCCCACCTCCGGCACGGAGTAACACCCAGTGCCAAAAGGCCCTTTTGTTTGGGCACTCTGTACCTAAAAGTTTCGCCATCACTAACCTAGAGGACCAAAGTCTGGGCATCACTGCCTTACAGAGTTGTTGTGAGGATGATATTAGAAAGGGTAGAACCATGTAAGCTGGCTTACAGAAACACAGATGCTAGATCGATCAATCTGTGTCCAGTCTGGGCACCACAATTCAAGAGGGATGTTGACAAACTGGAGCGTGTCCAGAGGAGGGTGATTAAAATGGTGAAGGGTCTGGAAACCACTCCCTATGAGAAGCAGCTCAGGTATATTTAGCCTGGAAAAGAGAAGGCTACGGGGTGACGTGATAGCTATGTTTAAATATTTGAACGGATGGCATATTGAGGATGGAGCAAGGTGACAGTAGAAAGAGAGGACGACCGCATGACAGATGGCTAGACTCAATCAGGGAGATCACGGGCTGAATCTATAAGAGTTAAGCAGAGCACTGGAGAATTCGGGGCTTAAAGATGTGTTGTGTTGTTCATGGAGTCACCATGAGTAGGGGTTGACTCAAGGGCAGCTAACAACCAGAAGCTTGTTTTTTGCTGCACCAGAGACTAGGACACAGAGAAATGGATTAAAGTTAAAGGAAAAGAGATTCCACTTAAATATTGGGAAGAACTTCCTGATGGTAAGAGGTATTTGACCATGAAACACCCTGCTTCACAGTGTAGTGTAGTTTCTTTCTTTGGAGGTTTTTAAACAGCGACTGGATAGCCATCTGTCTGGTGTGCTTTTTTTCCCTGCATGGCAGGGGGTTGGACTGGATGGCCCTTGGGGTCTCCTCAAACTCTTATCATTCTATGAGATAGATCATATTATAACTTGGAAGAAAAATATTTTTTTATAGAACCATAGAGTTGGAAGAGACCCCTAGAGCCATCCAGTACAAGCCCCTGCCATGCAGGAATGCACAATCAAAGTACTCCCAAAAAATGGCCATTCTGCCTTTGTTTAAAAACCTCTGAAGAATGAGACTCCACCACATTCTGAGGCAGCATATTTCACTGTCAAACAGCTCTTCCCCTTAGTAAGTCTTTCTCAAGGTTTAGGTAGAATTTCTTATTCTGTAGCTTGAATCCACTGTTGTGTCCTAATCTCTACAGCAGCAGAAAACAAGCTTCCTCAATATAACATCCCTCCAAATATTTAAACAGGGCTATCATATCACCTCTTAACCTTTTCTTCTCCAGGCTAAACATGCCCAGCTCCTTAATCGTTCCTCATAAGCCATGATTTCCAGGTCTTTATTTGAAAAACAACTCCCAGAAGTTCCCAGCCAGTGCTGGCTAGGGGATTCTGAATTTGTAATTCAAATCAGGAACCTTTTAAAGCTTCTGATATAAATGCAGTAAAATAATTGAATAAAGATACAACTTTAGATAATAAGGATACTGGTCTAAATCAGCTTTTTAAATTCCAGACAATCTTCTGCTTTGGTGAATAACATTGCAGTTACAGTATTTGGGTGTCCGCTCAGTCTTTTTGTTAATCTGTTCTGGACCTGCCACTATTCAGGTTAAGCTGAATGATGCTGGGTAGTAAGGGCCTTTGCAGACTGCCAGAAATAGTGCAAATTGAGTCCACTTTAAGGGTTAGGGTTAGTGCTAGGGAATCATGGGAATTGTTTTTTTTCTGAGACATTGAGCCTTCACAATAAAATACAGTTCCCATGATTCCCTAACCCTAACCCTTAAAGTGGA